AACAAAATAAGATGTCGAAACCTCGGTGATATTTACAGTTTCTTATTTAAAAAAATGAAAAAGTTCAGAAGAAACGAACTTACAATAATAATCTTCAGTATGGCGCTTCAAAGGATAAAATTGAAGAAATTTTGAGAATTGTGAAAAATGAACACATTGTGAGTATCGGACGAAGCAGTAGTAGCATTAGTGATTTATCGTAAGATTTTATTAATATGATGAGTTCGAAGATTTTAGACGATTTTGAGCAATATGAGAATTTTAAAAGAAACAATTATTAATTGCTACCATTTATTGACTTCAGTTCTTTAGCTGATAATTTTGATTTCGAATTCAAATAAAGGGACGGCAATCCTTGCAGGCTCAAAAGTGCTGATCTTTTATCAGATAGTAATTCAACAAGGAGTTCGGACATTGTATCGCCACAACAAAGTTCTCTTCTCTATAACAGTAATTTGATATTAACATGTTTAGTTTTCTTTTTGAATTTCAAGTTTAGCAATTAAACTGAACATAGTCCAAATTAAAAATCCGTTTTAATCGAAAATCAAAAATTAATTTGGAACTTGTTGACATCGCAAAAGTATTAACAGTAGTTTTTATTAATTTGACCAAAAAATTATTCAAATTGACATTTGTGGTACAATCTAGAGGTCCTCATATTTTCGCTGTATTCGTTATAATCGTAGGAGACAAATGTCAAAAGAAGCCGAAGACCAGAAAAGTGTGGCCTAACGGTGGAGCAGAATGGTTCGGGAAAGACATTTTAACAAGTTTAAAAATGGATTCTACACCGTTTTGCAACATTCAAGGTATCACGGAATAATGAAAATCATCACAGTATATCTTTTTTGGGATATGAAATACGATTAGTTTAATTCTGATGAACGATCTTTTTTCATAAACTGATGTTATTTTAAAATTCATTCTTCTATCGAGGTTTCAGCAAATGCAAGCGATCTAATAAACACTCAATTTTTTTTTTTTTGATCTCGCAAAATAATAATACCTGTTTAGGCTTTTTAAAATTCATCAGAATATATCCCATCCTAACTCTTTATCAATCTTATTTTGTTAGCTAATGCTTAGAAAATAATACTGCATTAACCAACAGCATCGTAGTGTAATGAAAATTTAAAAAAAGCTCCAAAATTGAATATATTCGAAATTAGAATGGATTTTCAGGTCCTATTCATGTGAAAATGAAGCGAAATATTTCAAGAAATAAAGAGCATGATTTTGTGATCAATGAAAAAATCGAGATTATTGGTGAAGGACATTACAACGAACAGCGTATTTTTGCAACAATTGAGCCGCATATGACAAGACAAGCTGATGGAGTAAGGCTAATTTAAGCCAACAAAATTTATTCCAGACAGAATTATATTTGAGATTCTGGAAGGAAAGTGCATATCAAATATGCAAAATTTCTGCTTAAACATTATTTCCCTTCGAAAATTAGTTTGGTATTATATATTTCATATTATAAGAGCCGTCTATAAATTATATCACACAGATAGTTCTTTTCTCGCATTTCCTAAATTTCCAAAAATAATTTTATTGAAATTATGTGATTTCCTGTCTAACGCTATCTTGCTTATAGCGGAATGACGATGTTTTAGCTGAAACACGTCATATCGTTACGCTTGTAGAAAATGCAATCATTATCGAAAGTCAATCAAGATTTTCATTATGTCGTCAAAAGATGAAAATACTTCACTTTGAAGCGATAGAAACTGAAAAGACTGCTGAGATATTGGAAGATGATAGTGAATTTGAAGGTTTTTAATTAATATATTTCATTTATGACTCGCAATTTCTTCGAGATTGAATTGAGTTTTAATTGTTAGAGAGAGAAAGCAAATAAAAATTAACAAAGAGTTATCTGATAAGTTTAAGATTTGAAAAATTTTTGAGAAGTTCAATTAAGATTTCTGATGAAAATTTGCTGAATTAATGGAAGCATCAGAAAAAACCTCCAGGAATGCTAAAATACTGCTTCAAATTGTACAAATTTCTTTTGGTTGCAGAAAAGATGAAGAAAATAGTGGAATTGAAAAGTGATTCAAGCAATGATCAGAATGTAATATACAGTCTAAGTGGACCTATTAATATTCGTTGCAATCAAGAAATCTATATTCAACCTAATTCAAAACTATTAAAAATTTATGAAACTATCAAGCTTCGAGCAAATGAAAATGAAAATGATCCAAAAGAAGTATATATTAGATTTTAGAACTAATTAATATATTTTATGCCTTTATTCGAGATGCTATTGTCTCGATGTTTAATCAAAAGTTATTCAATCTTCAGTTTGCATGAAATCATATTTCCTAATTTATATTTATTTGTTGGAATTAAACCAATTTGTTCCTTTCAATAGTTACTTTAACAGAAATATCATGGAAATCAAAATTCGGACTCGCAAATTTAGTCAAGATAACTAAGTAAATTTCACTATTCATTAATTAGATAATTGCTGAAATCGTATTCTAGCTACTATATCCCTCAAATCGAAATGCTTGTGTAAAGCGATTTGAGTCATCACCCTGTCGATGTCTTCAACGGATATTTATCGGCAAAGATATCATACAAATTGTGCGTGGAATACGTATCAGAAGCGAAAACGACGTAGCTGAAGTGAGATTTATATATTATTACTACGGTTGACTAGTTTTGAGCATTGTTATGTGTGGAAGCTTTTAGAAGCTTATTGCCAGAGCGGCATGTAACTGCTAATTATCTGATTTGGGGAGTTAAACTAAAATATCACGTCAAATTTGCTTAGCTTAGAAAAATTCGCTATGTAGATATAATTTTCACATTTTACAATGTTAAATATATGCTATTTGCGCTAGCCTGATAAAAATTAAATGCTTTAAATAAAGTATTTCCAAGCATTATGTATCACTGTAATGACAGTTTCACATTGAATTTGATTCAATTTAATACTGAAATTCTCTCTGAATTTTCAAGTGCGAGCAATTTGCTATGGAAGAATCATACAATTTCTTATCTAAGCAACAACTTGAAAAAAATTCGAAAAGGTTAGTCTAGCAATATCATCTTATGCTAGTATCAGTTAGACTGTTCTGTTAAGTTACTTAGTTACAACTTCAATCCGGAGGATACTGGGAGCATGTTAATCATTCCCGCATTTCCTGAAAACAACATATTTTCGCTAAAAATTGAAATAATTATTGCTATAAACATTAGAGCTTATTTGATATACAATTGAAGTAAAAGTCAATGAGAAATCAAATTATAAAAGATCGCTAATTTTCATTTGAGTCATTATTCATTCAAAATTCTGAAATTAGCCAAATTATCAAAAAGCACAATCAGTAAAATTTATTTGAGTGAATCAAAGGATAGCATTTTCGAATCATTGTCAGAATGTCAAACTCCGAGCAATTTCTCCAATAAACAGGTAAGTATGATGAATAATACCCGCGCCTCAGTTTTTTGATATGTTCCTAAAATTTGTATCATTAATGCTAAAAATAATCCCACCAAATATTACATATTTGTGCATTTTGCTGTCAATTTCATAGTCTGAATCAGCGCAGTACTGTTTTTGATCACGTATTAACACATTCAAACACGCAAAAGCGATGCATACCGACCCAGAGATATTTCAAATTAAAAGCACAAGAATTTCACTTCATAATTGTTTTTTAATACCGCCTTCTGATTTACAGTCAATTTTATTAGCAGAAATAGTTTATAACTTTCAAAACAATCCATGATGATAAATTATTTCATTAGATCAATTTCAGATATATTCTACATTGGATGAAAAGACTGAGAAAATTCCCGAATGCAACATTGTTGGTAAATCATTCATTAATTAAAATTGGTTTTCAAATAATTTTGACTAAGTTAATTTTTTTGCTGGTACTTTTATTTTCTCTTAAATATCATAATAAATTGTCATAGGATGTGATAATAATTAATGGAAATAATTAATGACAAGCTAATAATAATTTTTATTTTGCTCAGAATACTGACTAGAAGGAATAAAGCTAAAATATATGACTTTGTTCTACAGATCTGCTACGAATAAGATGTTGTTTCTCATTGATTTCAACATGAGTATTACGGAGGATATCATTTGAAATTACGCCATTGTTTGCAGGACCACTTTTGGTGGATACGACAGAACAATATTTGCGTACAAAAGCTGGTATGATAATGACACAAGAAATTATCAAAATTTATGGTCAAAATGAATTTAACGAGGAGAAAATATTAGCTACGTTAATTCCAGTTTCCAAACATTCAGAAGTACAGGTATGCTTTTCATTCAATTTTTCTTTATTTTGAAAAAGAAGGAAACGATCAAGAATTGTAATTTAGTACGCTAACCTTTATTAAACTATCGAATAGTTTTAGATTTTAATAATAAAATTATTAAATATTTACATTCAAATATTTCAATTAATATTGCAATTACGTGTAATTCTTTTACAAGGATTTTATTATTAATAAATAAGACACATGCAAATTGAAATTATTACTAAAAAATAATCATTCAAGAGATTTGCTTTAATTCAAACAAATCTATTCATATCATATATCCATTCAATTAACATTACAAAATTATTTCGAAATTTATTTATGAATATTTGTTTACTATAAAATTTTCTTTTCTTTTCAGATTTTTCTTTTTTCCAGAAAGATTTGGATTTTATGCCAAAGATGACATCAGTTGCCGATATTGGTGATGGATTTGTTCAAATTCGTGTCTGTCGTCTTTTCAAGACGCCTGATTTGATTTTATTAGGTGAAAAGAAGATGAATTACGATGTTCCTGATAATGTCACATTTTTCAAAAATAGAAGTGAATTTTTACTAGTTTCGTAATTTCCATCCATTTAATTATTTGAAAATTATTTATTAAACTTTGTCTTTCAATTCAATTATGTCTGTGAGAAATTTTCAAAAAATTTCTTGATTCAGTAAAGTATATGTTTTCAGTTATTTAATTACATATGCATATATTTGTAAAGTATTCGTTATAGCGAATGATAAAAATGAACAGATACCAATAACGCGAATAATTAAAAAAAACGCCCAAAAATATTCGCTGTTCGGTGCAATTAATATTAAATTGAAACAATGGATACGATACCGTACTTCAGAAGCATATTCACTACGCGAAGAACTTGAACTGAGATGTGCAAATACAAAAAGCAAGGCTAATAAGGTTTCAGATTTTTCTATTAATTTAAAAAAAAAAAACTACAATGTAAACAATGTAAACATGCAAAGTGAACAACTTTTAAGTTAGGCATTTTAAAAACTGAAATATTTTTCAAAAATTTGCATTTGTCAAAAATTTTATGACATATTCATCATGATCAATTTAACTAATGAAATTGTTTTTGGGTACATCTAAAATGCTTTCCGAACCTAATCAATTAGAAACCATTTCCACTTAAAAAACTAAAAACAAAAAGAAGAAAGTTAATTCTTAACATTTATTTTTTCATTATAATCTCTGAAAGATTCAGCTTATCTTTGTATATCTTTTATTAATGTACATCACAGGAACTACAAATGAATTCTCGCCAAATATCGAACTCGTCAACGCAAGCAATTCCGTTGCAAGTAATGGAGAAAATATTTGTCGGGCAAAATGTCGTTCGTATTGTACGTGACACTCAAGTCACTTCTTCTACGTTTCCTGTATGTTTCAAATTTTTTCTATTGTCAAAAATATAAAATTCAAGAAAACTTTTTGTCAATATTTGATTAAATTTGAGGAATTTGCTAAAAAAAATTACAGGAAAAAAGCTTTGAAATGATTGAATATCGCAGACACCAACTTAAGAGCAGTGATGATCAAAGGAAACAAAATGAATCAATCGGTATAATTTCTATTCATTTATCAGTGATTTCTAGAAAACATAGAGGGAAAAGAAAAGGATAAAGGTCATACGAAATAAATTAAGAGTGATTTTTATACAGAATAATATTATATTGAATATATTAATAATGATTTTTGTTTCTTTTTTTAATTGAAGATGATTTTAACAGTCGACGTGAGCAGTAATGAACTAATTAATTGTGCTCAACAACGAATCAACTATACATCAGTCTTTCTGCTTCTTTTTCAATTGTTCCATCCAAATATATTATACATCATTTAATACACTCCTCAGCAACTGATTATAAAGCGAACAATGAAGGCAATTCTGTTTGGTTATGAAAACGCTTAGTTATTTATTCATTCTAAAATTATTCACTTCATTTTCATTAAATATTTTCAAAAGTTCATAAATACTGTGAAGCAATTATATGATTCATCCTTATCATTCAAGTAATCAGTAGTTGCTCGTTTGAGTAACTTTCATAAATTTAGTAATTGATATACACTGTGAAATATTTACTGGTGTGATACGATTGTCCATTAAAGTTAAATTAATAATTATGATGCAGTGATATTATGAATCATCTTCAAGAAACTAATATTTTGGGTGTGCTTTTGATATTTGCATAAAATATAGAAGAAATACTTTTTAATGCACTGATCAAAAAAAATTGAGTAAATATCGATGAAATTTTAATATTTGCTGAGAATTAATATATTTATAAATTATTAATGATATAACAGATATTTGCAAGTAACCTTAGAAATGAAATTGATAATTTAACATTATAAATGCTTATCAGCGACTACCGTCAGGATCATAACGCATGCTACGTACTAAACCATTCCAATGAATGCCCCGTAAAGTAATACTTTTGAGAAAGTGAACTTCTATCGATGAATCAATCCGATCGCATAATTCACAGCTTTCCAAATATAACTCAGTGAGTTTCGGTAATGAAATTAATGCACTGAAACAGACTGGACAGTCACTAATTATTTCCACTTATTTAATATAATATACTCCAAATATACCTCATGTATGTTTCCAAACAATTCGTACATTTTGCAAGGTCAAAAAAGGTCAAAAATAAAGACTTTCTAAACGGTCAAAAAAAAGAGAAAGAAGGTCAATTTGAGGTCAATTGTTAAGTTGATACTGCCTATGATCTTCATAGGCTATTATCTAATTATGTACAGCAAAGATGTTTGCAAACATTTGATCAGTCTATTTTTTAGCATTACGTGAATTTCGTAAGTTAGACGATTCTTAAAATAATACTACGAGAATAAAATTCGAATGATAGACGGATTCAAGAAGAGGTAATGTAAAGTTTGTGCATATAAAAATTGTCAGCTAATTGTAAAACTCAAAAGCAGTAAAATTAGACGTACGTGTAAAATCGCTTCAACTGATCATTAGTAGCAAATAGAGCATTCCAAATATGTACAAAACACAATGAACGATGTGTCAGTAAGAACCATATTAATAATTCGGGATATTTTGCGGTGCTATACTGTACACCAAGCTGTAATATACAACACAATAAGAATAGTGCTGTGAAATTAATGAGATGAAAAGCTTAAAAAGTCTGAGGAATAAACGAAATCTTTTCTGCGCTATTATTATCTCCTAAAAAAAATCCCGCATATACCTTTTTTTCGCACTTACCAGAAATATTTTAATAATCAAATGTGACCATTTGGTGAGCAGCGCATTATACGCGTTGCTATCCAATACGTATAAAATATTATCTTCATAATAATTTAATTATATAGAAGTTCTTCTTTCGTAAATCTTCAAAATTTTCAATCTTTTCAACTGTCAAATTTTGAAATTAAAATTTTCTACAGCAATAAATTTAATAGCCGAAACAATCGAGAATCAGAAGAGAATAAAAACTCAACATACTTACACTTATATGTTTCAATTTGTACAGATTGCAACGGCTTTCACACAACGAATATAATATTCTAGCTAAAGTATCATAGGGACAATTGAGCACGAGTTTCTCTAAATGTTGCATATACCGCAGAGGTGGCACTTCTAATCGATGTGAACATCCTGCAACTATATTAAACAGTTCAACTAATAAGTGATTAAAAATTAGAAAAATTTAAATAAAATTGGATTTTGATTATAAAGAATTATTAAAATAGATTAAATATAGCAAACAGGCACATATGTATACAATATGATTTATTGCTAAGCGATACGTGTACTAAAATATTTCAGAAAATACGTGCTATTAGATTTTTGAACTTTGATTTAACTTGTTTAGAAGATTAACAAGAACCTTGATTTAATTTGTTTAAAAGATTAAGAACTTTGACTTAACTCGTTTAGAAGATTTTTCCACAAAGTTTGTGCCTCTAAAGATAATTTTTTTTTTTTTGTATTGAAATAAAATTTGTAAGATTTTGGGATCAGAGAAATTTTGGGATTAATATATGTAGTATAATTATTATAAATTAAAATCTGAGAAAATTATACCTTTGCCAGAAGTTTTCTGAATTACATATCCATCCATTATTAATACCTTCAGCTGTCTAAAATATTGCAAAGCCAAGACGGCATCTGTTTCAAAAAATGGCTTATTGCAAGTTTGACTTAAATCTAATCGATATAACCTTGGCACTGCTGATGCTAGCTATAAAAAGGAAATTAAAAGAAGGAAAAGTGAAAAATTAAAATGCGTCATTGCTATTTTTCCATTTTTTTTCGTTTGATAGCTGCTACTGCTATCGGAAGTATATTCAGGGAATATATTCAGATAATCGGATAATACTTCCGGAAATGTTCCATCACGTTGATTTCTGTTAGGCATAATGGAGTAATTGATATAATGCTAGTTAAAATTTAGGAGAGAAACTCAATAATCACTAGAAGATTATTTACTATATCTCTATTGATAATAATAATAAATTTATTTTCATTGTTAAAAAAAAGTGCGATACTTGAATTAAGCCAGCCAACGTGAGGACAATTGAACAGTGACGCAATGAAAGTTCACGCAAAGCTGGCATATAGAGATTAATAAATGCGAAAATTTTATCAAAAACTGCCTCATAATCATTTTGCTCATTTAAAAGAGCAAAACCTTTCCGCTTACAATTTCTAAATATGGCCAAATAATCACAGACAACATCAAGATGATTTCGATGGCATAAATTATGCTCGGCAAGCCATTTGTAGTATTTCGATACCTGTTAAACAATTCATATTTGAAATTCACAAATCAATCTCATTTGATCATGGAATTTTTATTGAATAAATATGCCTAATAAGAAACTGTCCTTCCTGTACAACTTCTACGTATCAGTTAATAATTTCAATATTTTTTATCATTTCTTTTCTTTATTGATCTTTTTGTTTTAGAAGAAAAAAATTTCTTAAATCCAAAATTTTCATTTTTTTTCAACTTTCAACTTTTTTTTTCTTTTTTTTGCAACTTATACAGGTAAAGCTTATGAAACAAAATTTATGAAAGATTGAATAACAAACTTGTCGCAACTGAAGCAGTGAGAAGAAATCGCAATAATTTAGAATGGCTAATTGAATTTCAGGCGGTAATGAGCAAATTGATACCATGTTTCAAAAATTAGCAACAATTCGAAATCGGCAAATCAGAATAAGAACGACTAATAGTTTAAGTAATGACTGTAATGAACGAAGGTTAAATTAAAAGTAGTAATGAGAGAATGATTTAGTTCCCGGACATCAGAAATGTTTCTGTTTCAAAAATAATTGAGTTATGATATAATTTATAATAAAAAAGAAAAGCAAATATGGAAGAAATGAAAATACCAATTGTTTCAATAATTATTTGGTTAACTGATTTCAGATTATTTACGAATAGTTTGAGAGAAACTATCTGGAAAATAATGTTGATTTAACTGAGAAAAAAAGCTCGTATAATTGTTAAAAATAACAATGAATAGATTTTGAAATGAATGAAAAATAGAAAATTTGAAATGCTTGCTTATGCTTCAATACTTTATAATGCACGGAAGCTTTATAAATTTAGCCTAAGAGACTACTCTAAAACGATTATTTTATTCCCATTCAAACGAAGAAACAATATTTTGTAAGAAAAGTAATGAAAAAGAATTATAGGAGAAGTCAAGATATTTAGGATTGATGAAGTGTAAGGCTTCAATGAAAAATTAGCATGGGATAGTGTCGCTGAAAGTACACTTTTTAATAAGCATTTCATTTTTTTTCATCAACAAAACTTCTAGAATTTGTATTTTTAAGTTATATATAATTTAATTGATAACCATAGCAGAAGAGTGATAAATGTAAATAAAACATTGAAATTTTATGAAATTTATGCTTGTAACATAATGTATTGTTCATTTCTAATGAATCGAATCCTTTCCTGCTATAGTATTATAAAATGTTCCGATTGAAATTAAAATTAAAAATTTTATTCACACATTTCTTCACTATCTATAATATTCTATAAAAAGTTAATTAATTTTTTAAAAGCTCTGTTAATTTTTTCAAAATTAACATTTTTTCGCTAATGCCATAAAACTGCCATTTCAGCTTTTCCATCCAATAAAAATGTTTCTTTTTGTTTTATAAACCAATATAACAAATATGAGAAATTATGAACAAAACGCCGCAACAATAATGAAAGTATTAAAATTAAAATGTTTTAAATTTATTCCATTTATAATTAACATTGGAAAACAGAAATTATTTCATTCATAATTGATATTTAGAAAGAAACTCATCACATTTTTAGTTTGTAAAAAACAAAATGAGTAGAAAATAAGTTTCCAAAATTGAACAACGGAATGGCAATTTTGCATGAAAAACTTTAATTGCAAAATTTTGAATGAAATTTTGAATAGCAACAGATAGCGTAGATTTTGAAAGTGCTGAAGAGATGATAAGCAGAAGCATGTGACGAGGAAAACAGAGACAAAAAAAAAACTTTTGTTCTTTCAACAAATCAATATGTGATCGTTGATTAAAAAATAATGTTAATTGGTTTGACTTGATTTGCTGCAGGCATCGGTTTGGATGATAAATATTTTTAATCGTTATATTTTTAAAAATTTCTCACATTATACTTACTTACTTACTTACCCCATTATATGTCATGTAGTTTATCAAACATTTAATAATTGTCACCAAATTATCACATTGCTTAAAGGAAATGGAGGATTAGGAAGAGAAAACAAAAAAATTAGCAAAAAAGTTTTGTACATTTGTTAATATTTACATAATCTTTTTCTTTTTTTCTATGCATTATTTTTCTAACATATTGAAAATTTTTGCTATTGTTTGATCGTTTTGTTTACAATGGACATTTTGATCACTTTCAAATATTTTAATAGTCCTACGATAGTCGAAGGAAACTACAAAGGATGACATTAAGCGTGAAAAAATATTAATGTGTATCATTACTCTTACAAAAATAAATTAAAGAAAATTTTAATGATTTAAAATTTAAATTTTATTTTTAGTTCGTTTACTCCTTTCTTCTCTTCTCCCCTTCTCTCCTTTTCTCTCCTTGTCTTCTTTTCTCTCTTCCTCTCTCTTTCTTCTCAGAATCGAATTCGAATAATAACTCAAATTGGCATTCTCGAATGACACTGTCGAACGGAGTGAACAATGAGAAAAGGTAAGAACAGCAGGAGTAAACAAAAAGTGAACCTATGGCCGATCGATTATATGATCTAAGGAAAAAAAATTGAGGAAAAAGCTTGAGAAACTAATAGTTGTGCACAAGGAGACAGAGAAAGAGAGAGAGAGAGTGAGGGAACGAGGGGGAGAGAAAGAGTACAGAAAAATTACAAATTCCGAAGAAAAAGAAATAGCTACACTTATTAAATACCCATTAGTCGATAATTGATCAGATTCGACTATTTCATCTCTTTGCCCATTTATTCAACACTTTCTCACTCAATCAAACTAATCAAATATTATGCAAATTTGCTCTTTTTATTATTAAATCGATGTAAATTTACATAAAATAAAAAAAAGAAGGAAATCGATAGGTCGATGGGAACTATGAAGAAATGTACTGCGCCCAACAAATGTCGAGAGACATTTGTCAGAAAGTTTTCAGTTTCTTTTTTTCCGAACAGATCGCCGTTTCATGCATTGCAGACAGACTGACATTTCATTTCAGAAAGCTTTTCATATCGCTTTTTTTCTGGAAATGAACTTTTCCCATCAAATTGAGTTACTTATTATCTCATTTTGCACCTTTTTCTTTTCCTTTCTTTCTCTTTTGAAGTATTGAATTCGCAAAATAATTTCTATCATTTTTCATAAGTAATTATTTAAAAAAGAATTAAACGAGTTGACAAAAAGTGCAAATTGTGAATTTAAATGTGTTATAAACTGAATATTTCAGTGAAAAAAAAGAAAAACTTTTATTTTATATTATTTGACTTTTTTCCTTGCATTCAGTCTTCTTATAATTAGTATAGATAATTGGAAACATTTTTCAAGTAGATTCGCAGACTTTTGATCAACAATCTTTATAATCATGGCAAGCTGAATGTTTTAGTTCTAATCCAGTCGATTTAATTGTTTCATTATTTAATTAATACTTCAGTACATTATAGTTCACAAATTCTTTACTTTGAATAAATTAGCTTTCTCATTGTTTATTGCTTATTGTTTGCATGATAATTTTTCATTATTGTATAGAATTCACAGCAGGAATTCGTTTACTTTGGATAATCGAAGTATTGCATACATTTTATTTGAAAATTAA